AGGCTCAAATAACTCTCTTTTGGACAGTAGTTTCCACAATCCCTTCAACCTGTATTTAATTCCACGGAACGTCAGTGTTTTTCTCCAAATATTCTGTTCTCTGCTAAATGAATTTCTTTCATGATCCAACATAACCACAAAGTCTCCCCCCACCTCTACATCATCACCCTTGTTTTCCCTTCATGAGAATTTCAAATTTTTAATTTTAATCAGTTCAATCATTTCTTTTTCCCCGTTCTTGCTTTGTACATTGGTCTGCTTTGGAAAGGAAAATCCTTAAATTTCCAAGTCTTAGTGCCAGTTAATAATAAAATTCTGATGTATCCTTTACTGGGTACTTTCCACACATCAGGTGATAAAAGATCAACATCTGTTCTCTCAATCTGTAGGATAGATGGTACTACTCCCTGTTTTATAGATGAGAACCCAGTGCCTGGAATCAGGGAGGCACTTGGCAATGGCCAAAGCAATGCTAAATAGCACTGGCTGGTTAGAAGTATGATCATTTTTTCCCCAGTGCAGTTCATAATCACTGTGCCACCTGCTCAGTGAGATACAGGGCTTCTGATGCATTGCTAAGCTCTCTGTCATGTGTTCCATTGTATTATCATAAATACTCTGATTTTATTTTGTCTTTGTATTAGTTTGACTGCTGCAAAATCTCTATGGTATGAATAACGTTGGAAAATAAAAGGTGTTCATAGGTTAATAAGCTTTCTACTCGCGGGCACAGGCGATCTCTTGGAGCTTTTACAGTATCACCTTATGTATTTATCTGACAAACAAATATCCATATTTTGACAGTAATATTTATATTGACCTCTGTTTCTAGGTCTTGGCCTTTGTAGTTGAGTACCCTAGGATAAGCTTTTGTTCTTACAGTTGGTTTTCGAGCCTGGTTACTGACATAGTTTTAAATCTCTCCAAATTTTCTTAATTAAAAAAAAATCATCTTTCTTTGACAATTCTAAATGCTTCATCATAGAGGCTGATTGATAAGCAGACAAGTCTTATGATTAAAGTGTTGGACTTCAACTGATTCTCTTGCTCCTACTTCTCAAAGGCTGGGACTAGAGGCATGTGCCAATACTCCTGTCCCAAAAGTCTATATTCTTTGACATCATCATTATTTGTTAACTGCCATTCTATTATTATATCTTTCTTTCATTGTTGTTCATTTGTTTTTTTTTCCTTTTTGCATATTTGTGCTAAGTTCATGTTACTTACATAGAGAGACCATAGAGCAAACTCATTTATTTTATTTTGTGTTTTAAATTTTAAAATAAGCAAGCATTTATTAAGACCTTAGTGTTTCAAAATTGTTTAAGTTGATTTCCTAGTTAGTACTGTTTAATTTTTTTTCATGGTCTTCACATGTATTGACATCAGATGAGGTCACCATTTGGTCTAAAAGCATATGTGCATAGAGACATACTTTGACATTTATTCAGATATTACTCAAAGGTACATGGTTTTATTTGCCATTACTTAGAATAATATCTACATATTTAGCATCTGCCCCCAACCAATAGTATTCTATAAATATTTCAGTGTAGAATTATTAACAAATATTGGATATATTAACAAAATCTAAGGAATATCACCACCTGCCTATCCATCCAGATCACTTCTTAAATTTAACTACATTTATATGATAAAAGCAATTTCAAGCTGCCTATGAATAAATGATCCTCTCTCTGAATGTGTCTCTCTGGGTAAATGTATTGTTGTCAATCTTATTATTTGGAACACAAAAATGTTAACAATCCCCTTGCTTCAAGTATCCTCTGTAGAGACCATCACTATCTCTTAACAATTTTGCCTCCAAATGTCCTCAAATGTGCAAGATGCTATTTCAAACATCATTACCAGTCTCCTACATTCTAAATCATGTTTGTCTGTTTGTTTAATTCTAATCAATGTATAGAACTGAAATCCTAGGTGATTTTTTTTCATGTGTGATCTTAGGTTCCCTTGAAGGTCATCCCTCTTGCCCAAAAGGAACATGTGTGTGTACACCCAACAGTATTGATAAATCACAGGGCATTCACAATGCACCAGGTGCCTGTCTAGACTTATCCAGTGTTTACATCTCCTTAACCCACACCAGAAGGAATAGTTATCACATGTCCCTGTTTTAAAGGTAGGAGAAACTGACAGTTCTGGCCAAAAGTAAATGGCAAAGTTGAGATGTGAACTCGGAGATTTTAGCTTTATGCTTGATGGTTCACCATTACAAAATGCTACCTCTCAATGAACATAATTCTTTCCATATGAAAAGTCTTCTGTAATTTCTGAATTTTTCCAACAGTCTTAAAACTTTGCCTGGAATATTCTTTTCTCCCACCTTGTGTTATTAAGTATGTTTCATTTTTTATGTGTTTCGTTAGTCATTATTTCTTTAGTAAATTCCCCTTTAAATAAGTATTACCAATTACTTTGCAGAATTCAAACATTTGTTAAATAAAACTGAAATTCTGTATGGTTTTCTAATTGTACATTAATCTGCGTGTCATGCACTATAATGTAAACTGAACAAAACTTGACCTCACCTGTGCAATGCAGTCTGGTGCCTGGGTGCCTACCTACCTGCCTTCACACACACAAACTGCAATAAATACTTAAAGATAAT